AAATTTGGTGGTGGCAATTGCCACCGCCAGGGCCAAAAAGGTTGAACCCACGCGCCTACCATCTATTTGACTCAACTACACTTTCCACGATCAATTTCATGTGCTAATCCCAATCAAATATGAAAGTAGAGATGGGATATTGACGGCCGGGTAAGAAAAAAGCGGAAATATGAGCCTCTTTGTTCTAAGCTGTGGAGGAGCCTAACTATAGGAAACAGACAGTGAGATCAGAGATCACAAGTGCCGAGGTTAGAGAAAAGACTCAAAGACGGCAGAGCATAGCAGAACAATTAACAACACAGATGAAAAACCGCAGCGGTGGGCGTTCAGGAATCCAGGGGGTTTTGCATGGATCTGAGTATATGCCCTAGCGTCTTAGGCCGGTGTCAGACTGCGAATCTCGCGATTGGTTACTCGCGATTCGCTCGATTCGCAACGTCTGATGCCGGCTGTAGTGACTCGTTTCGCCATTTCAAAAATTTTCTCACCTACCAGGTTTTCTTCGGGCGATTTCCCACCCACGACCTTTGCGAACTTCCATCATTGACGATATTACTGCAATCACCATCATTGGCAGCTGCGCTTTCGACACTTCCCCTGCCTCTCCTCGAGGTAAGCAAACCAGCCCTTTTGGCGTTTCTGCTGGGGCCGTATGCTGAATGTTGGGGAGGGGATGGGGTCCCCGAGGTCGACGGACTTCAACTCGGTCGGTACGGTAGGAGAGTGATGACGCAAGTGGTGCAGCTAGGTCCAGCAGCTCCGCCAAAAGGGCTGGTTTGCTTACCCAGGACTAAGCCTTGAGAGAGGACGGACCTGCGCTCTTGCAAATTGAGGCGGTTTTAAGGACCGAGTTGAAGTAGTCCGTCGACCGTCGGGGACCCCATCCCCTCCCCAACATTCAGCATACGGTCCCAGCCAGAAACGCCAAAAGGGCTGGTTTGCTTACTTCCCCCTGCTCCCCTCCTTTCATAGGCTAAATACGACTACACTGATTTGAAAATTACCAACAGGCAGTTGACCCTGACTCTTTCCCAGACCAAATACAAAATCGCCTCAAATCAACAGCTTGCATTTTCCTAAGAACTGAGTTCAAATCGTATAGTGTTCATAATTCAATTTGAGGTACCCACGATATTCATAAGTCGGACATCGATATGTCGAAGCGGGCGCGAAGAGTCCGCTCAGACAGATGCACTTGTTGATCTGAACTTCTTCGACTACGATGAATGTGAGCTAAGTCTTTGTGAGAGTGAAGCAGATGCCATCGAGGTCGATGTATTGCTTGACTCTGTGGGTCAAGAAGATGGTATCGACGCTTTCGCTCAAATAAATGCCGCACAGGTGAGCTTTGAAATCTATTGGTGTAACGTTGAAAACAATGTGAGGCTCCTAAATGTGAAGAAAAGTGGTCTTACAGCACACATCTTGGTAGTATGGCTTTGTTTTCGCTTATCAAGAATGCCTTCAGTTCGAAGTGTTGACAATTCCAGGAGGTTTCCACTACCGTGCAAATGCCATCGGCAGTCAGTACCATTTCTCGACTCATTGAGGAGGACAAACATCCTGCAGCTGAGGAAGTTGAGACATGCATTGAAATTCCTCAAGAACAAACTATCTGTGAGGAAGCGAATTGGACGCCGTGGAGAAATCGACTTAGGTATGTAACGTGGGGCCACGCAAAAAGTGAAAGCCTAGGTATAAGAATAACTACGAATAGTTATGTAACTACTTTCTACAACACACTTCTTCATACAACAATTGCACAATGAAGTATAATAAAAAACATGTTTCTTGCAGACGCCTCACGCTGTACGATGGGACCTCGCATGGCTTATGATGCACGAAGGCGGTACCTCCAAGAAGGCCGATTCGCCGCAGCTAAGAAAGCGCAGAGGTTCGGCGACGAGTGGCAGCGCGATGGATGTGCGATGTAGGACGGCGGGCACTCGATTTGACCTGGACGGGAATCTAATATTGTACATTCGTCGCTGACTTTGCCTTCTTGCCGCGCGACGAGGCTCCTGGGGGGGGGGGGGGTAGGTACCCTGCACGAAGCACACTGGAACCGAGCAAAGCACTGTAATGGTGTGTGGGGCGTGCATTGAAATAGTCGGTGCCGAACTTAAAAACTCGAATATGAGAATGATTTGGAAGTCCGAAAAAAGGATAGTTTCATTAGTTTCAAACAGCGTGCACAATGGGAAGTTGGGAGAAAAGGTCAGCGACACTGATAGAAATGACGCCAAGGCATCAGGTATTTCGTAAACGCCTGTCCACATTTCGTTTATAAAGTGTCTAAACGTATGCATGTTCAAACGTGTTAAGTATTGGCTTGAGGTCAGACAAAAGAGACAAGCCGGTTTTAACAGTCCGATGAGTGACCGCTACCGTAATCCACGTTGGCACTGGAGCGCGCAGCTACACTACTGCTGTGTACCCACACGTTTCAGCACCAACGTGAGAGGGTATAGTGCCTCGCTGGCGAGTGCACAATACCCCAACCACCACAGCCGCCCTTGGGGTCGTTTTCCGCGCACTCCACGGCGACAAAATGGGCGACTATCCAAAAATACACGCAGCGCTCGCTTCGCGCGCAGGGCAAGGGAGGTTAGCCCCGGGGTGCCGCCAAACCACTTGCCGGCAAGTTCGACCAACTGCCATACTCCTCCTATATACCAGCACGGACGCTCCGTACAAGAGCCAGGTTCTATCACGCCCATTCTGTCGCCGTGGAGTGCGCGGAAAAACGACAAAAGGGCACGTCGAATTCTAATCGATGACACGTGACGTTGCGCGCCAACCAGTCACGTGTTACGGTTGCGGTCACTCACCGGACTTTGTAATCTCACTAATGACACAAGAGCGGATGCTTAAACTAGTACCAAGGTAAAGCTTTTCAAAGGAAGGAAAGAGAACAGCGATGACTTTACGCGCTGTTGCAAGATACGGGAGCATTGTGGTGGCAATGCATTTCAAATCGCGACACTCCTTTCTCTCAAAAATTGAAATAAGACTTGGTGGAGAAGAAGGTGTCACAGATTGCGTGAGCAATTTCTTTATTTCCCGACTTTCCTGCCCCTCTGCTGGGTTTAGTCCTCGAGGATGCCCTCGTATTTTGCGACAGCGCCCAAGAGGGATAGATGTTACAAAATCTAAAGGAAAACCAGCGGAAAGCGTAGGAAGGAAAGCGCTGGCACAGGGTGAGAATGTACACGTTTAAACGAGTTCTAATCTTCAACTAGGTTTTAACGAGTATACAACCATGACTTAAAGCAACAGTCCCAGCAGGGTGGGCGTGGTCGGAAACGACTGCAATCCCCTCGGCCGATTCCGACCACGCCCACTTCAGCTCCCTCCCTAGCGGCTTTCCAAGGTGAGTTTTTGTTCAGTCACACTTCTTACGTTCTTGACTAGGGGCTGAACAGCTCCGAAGTGGGAATCGGCCGAGGGGATTGCAGCCGTTTCCGACCACGCCCACCCTGCTGGGACTGTTGCTTTAAGCCAGATGCCACTTTTGGAAAAATGTCACTGCGTATTGCAATAGCCTGCCGAGTAAAATCCTTGCATCGAACGAAATTACCCCATGAATGTTTTCATGGCAATAGAACTAGTCGTATAACGGGTCAGATTTTCAGTTTAGCGGGAACTGTATGATTGTGCTCTTTCAGATATGTTGGAAGATGAGGAGATCGCCGAAGAACAAGCTATAGTGAAACATCCTGAGTCAGTGAGACTGACCGATCTCGAACAAACGGCCGTTCTCACTTGCTTGGCTAAGAGGCCTATCACAAACGCATCATGGTTCAAGAACGGTATGATAATAAGTTCCAACGAATATATTGACATCGAGACCGTTGGAAATGAGACTCGACTCGTCTTGATCAAGTTCATTCCGTTCTACATTGGCACGTATCACGTGGTTGTTGACGATGTTGGAAGCAGCCCTGCTCAGCTTTCGGCGAATATTCCACACAACTCATAAGGAACTCCTATTTATATTGGCGAGCCTTAATCAGGAAAAACCCTATCATTAGGTAGTCATAAAGCTTGCATTAATTAGCTCTATCTTTTCCATGACAGTTTTCGGGGGAAGGCAGGTAATAGGTGACCGAAATTTGGCAAAAGACAACATTAGCGCTGCTAACGCCATCGACAGCTGATGCACCTGTCATAAGGTTCTATCGCACCACGAAATGAAACTATTAGGCCAGCACATAATTTTTGAGACACTTGGGATGTTTTCGATTCAATCACTCATTTTATTTTTCTGATGTATTTATTCAACACAATATACATCACCATTATTATCAACATATCGCTAACACGAGCGTAGGTGTTCAATGTCTCTCTCGTGGACTTCCATAAACTTCTCATTGAAGAAATATTGGATGTCGACTTTAACATCATGTGCCGTTAAAGCCAAGAATTTTCCATAGAAGGTGAACTTAGAGAGGACGGATGGTTGTTCATTGCACAAAGCTCAGTGGCTACAATGCGGGGCTAGAAAGGACTGGGACCGCCAAAGATATCCAATTTTTCAGTGAATTTCTTCTCACTTGCAAGTTGGGGTGTGAGTCGAACGATTTTAAAAAAGAAGATTTTTTTTTTGCCTTTCGAATTGAAGCCGTCATAAACTGTGGGCGATGATCTTCATCACTGACACTGGTATTATATGGTGTCGTTACCGCCAGAAAGCCCCTCAAATATTCCTCCAAAACTCAGGACGGTAGAATTTAGAGGGGAGTTGGGCTTTCACTGTCAGTACTCCCGAATTTGAGTCGAGCTACTGCAGCTTGTGCATTTTACAGTACGACTGCACCAGTATACACGGACTATTTCCGAGAACATGGGAAATCAGCAGGAACATGTGATGATGTCAGAGTCGAGTTGAGCTGACTTCGCGGCCCAGAGACATGATGAGACACAAACTCCTATTTCGAACCTTTAGCCGACTTTATCCTTGTCTCAGTTTGCTCTTCACCTCTGATCACACCAAAAACCTTTTGGCGGCCCACCTTTATTCAGATTCGTTTCCTACTGGGCGTCCAATAGAGCAATCGAGATTGGCGGGAGCAACGGGTTTTTGTCGTGGCTGGAATGTACCATCCGCAAATCAATAGGAGGCTGATGAGTAGAAATGACCACCGCCTACCTTCTGATTAATCCTCCGTATAGCTTGACATGTGGAAAATCATAGTCGGTAAACATGAGGCTCAAAAATGGGTCTCGAAGAAATAGGAATCCTGGCTAAACAAAGCAACAAGCAAACGAGACGGCTAGCCTGTTGGATAGGCGGCTTGTGGGCTGGGTTGCAGAACATATTGGAAAGCTTCAGTAATCACCAAAAAATTTTTTACAACAATACATCTAGAAAGTCTCAAAAATAGTGTGCCGACCTAATGTTTCTTAAAATAGGTTCCTACTAGACAACCAATGTTTCGCTTTTTCAGGGTTCCATCAGTGCTCACTCATCAAATTGGAAAACCATTCGATCTCCACCTGAAGTATTCAGCATATCCAACTCCTCAAATCAAACTTCTTCATCAGGGACAAGTGATGACTCTAGAATCAGACATCGACCAGTACGAAGACAGTCTTTCAATAAGAGTGAAAAATCTCAAAAAACAAGATGAGGGTGAAATTACTGTAATTCTGTCCAACGAATTCGGCAAAACTGAGGTGTCGTTCAAACTGAAGCTGGTTGACACTCCGCTGGCACCCAAAGATGCTCATCACGTCGAGCTAACACCAACCACAGTTACTCTGGTATGGGATGCTCCACAAGCTGACGAAAGTGATATCATTCACTATCAAGTAGAAAGAAGAACAGCTGAAAGTGGTAGATGGAGAAAGCTGGCTAAAACTACTACCAAAGAGTATACCTGCACCGAACTAGTCCCGAAAGAGTTCTACGCTTTCAGAATCAAGGCTGTAAACAAATTTGGAGAAGGCTTGCCAAGCAATGTTGTTGAAGTAGACATGCCTGATGAAGAAGAGGAGATTCTGGAAGAAACGTTCGATCTCACTGCAATTCTAGACGTAGAGGATGGAATTGTACTTGACCAAGATGAAGTGATAGAAGCTGTTATCGAATTGACAGAGAAGAAAGAGCCAGAAGAAGAACCAACGACAGATTACGAAGTTGTCGCAGAAGGTGCAGAAGAACCAGAGGAGAAGGAACTTCAAGAGGCCGTCGAGAAGATGAAGGAAGTCGCCGCAGAGGTCAAGCCACCAGCTGAGGAACAGAAACCAGTGCCTGATGAAGAAGAGGAGATTCTGGAAGAAACGTTCGA